GTAAAAAAAAAAAAAAAAATTGTGGTAAATGTGGAGAGCGGATCAGATACGATGGGCTGTGACCTGCGGCATTTGTTTTTGCCCCTTTCAAAGTTGTGGCCGGGCAAAATTTGCTTTCTGTGATGAAATTTAGGGTAATTGAATGCAAATGTCTAGGGGTAGAGGGTGCTGCCGGCTGTTTGCTGAATAGAAGTGGGAAGACACGGAGCTCTTGCACCAGCGAGGAGGTTGTGGCTGAGGCTCAGGGGACCGGCCTAGCCAAGGGCGGAAATCGGAGGCTCTGCAACTCGCTGTCGGTGGGTCTGAGGTTTGTTTGGTCTCACGGTCTGCTCGCACCCAAACAAGGCGGGATGGAAAGTAAGAGGAGCTTCGTGCTGATCGGTCACGCTCTCATCACTGCCTCTGCTTAGAGCAGGTCAGCGGCTGCAAGCGCCCTGATGGTGCCGTGCTGGTGCCACGGGGCAAGCGAGCTTGGCAGCTGGGAGATGGTGATCCTGGGAAGCACTGCTGCCCCACGCAGCACTCCCAGCTGCTCCTGCTGTGCCACCCCTGCCTGCAGCCGTCGCTGGTCCTGGTGAGGCAGGGATGGGGGGGACTGAGCTGCACCCAAGTTGCGCAGCTCACACCGGCTCTGCGAAGGTCCTCACAGCTGTAACGAGGAGAATATCTCCGTTGCTTGCTTTTGGTCACGGTGGGAAGCCTGCAGGCCAGACTACCCCATCCCCAGGCTAGCCCTTGACGTTCTCCTCCCACTTGTTTCTCAGCTATTTTCCCAAGCCAGTCCTATGACAGCACGTTGCGGGAGGAGGTTCAGAGCTACGCGTTTTAACAAGCCTCTCAAAACCTTGCAAACCTTCTCTTTGATCCTACAGTTCCTTGCTAGCTTCCAAAAGCAAGGACAGAGGTGTCCTTGGAGCCCAGTGCATCCCTCACAGGGGGGCTGCTGCTTCCCTCCCCTGCCATCATGGTCCCCTGCGGCATGGATGTCCGGATATTGCATCAAAATCCTTGAGCATCCCTCGGTGTGCAGCTACTGATGATTTCTGAATGATGGCACTGGAGGTACTAATAGTGTCAGCTTGCGGGAGACGGAAACATAGTAAGGAGCTGTTGTCTGCAAGCACTCATTGCTAGGATTTCTGCCCTCTGGCCAACTGCGTTTGCTGCTCCCATCTGCTGCTCTGCTGAAGTGCTCGCTAGGAGAGGGAAGCAGAGGTGTGCCCACAGGCTTGCCTCCGGTCCTGAGCCCTTCTGAAAATTCTTACAGCCTGCAAAGCATAGAGGCTATTAAAGGGAAGGATCAAACCCCCTCGATTTCATTCACCACAGAGGGAGTAACTGCAAGACAATGCATTCAGGAGAATCTTATAAACACAACGTGCAATTGCCTCCTAAGGAGGGAAGTTCAGGTTGCTATCTGTGGTGGAGATCTCCCTTCAGAACCTGTTATACCACTAAAAAGTATGCAAGTCAATTGGTGGAAAAACAGATTTCTTCACAGCCAGTAATTAAAAAAGCAGAGTTTCCAAGCTACGCTGTTCTGCAAAAACATCTTCTGCCCCATGCTATTTGCCGCGGTAAGAAAGATTAAGTGGAGATTAGCTCACACAAAAACACCAAGCCTACAGTTACCAAAAGAAGAGACATTAAATCATTCTAAGTAGTGTTCTCGAAAAATAAATATTAAAGAGCTGAGCATCCCGATAAGGGCAATGTTCACTTTGTGCCTTGAAAACAGTAAGATACGGTGGGGAAGGCAGTATTCGGGCTTGACTTGAAACTAGGCAGGACTCGGGCAGTTAACAACAGGATTTAACAAACTCAGGGAGGTGGAAGACTCCCAGGGTCACATGTGATATGATGAGTTGCTGCAGCAATAAAGTCTGTTTTTAATTAGACTTTGTTTTCTCCACAGAGGATCTTCTAAAAATAGGCAGGGCTTAAGAGAGTCTCCTTTGTTTCAGCAAATTCAGATTTTCTGCTTTGGTCTCTGAAATTTGTGTGGCAGAGGTTGGTCTCGGGCACCTTCACCAAAGGCAGGTAGTGGTGAAGAAACAGCATTTTCACCAAGCCACAAACATTCATTTTACCTGCCTCAGACCTGCGTAAGGGGGCTGGGGCTGTAGGTTCTTTGGGAAAGGCACTTCCTCCTCCTGGCACTACCAAGCTCCACCAGCACCTCCAGCTTCTGGGTGCTACTGCAGACCAAAGAGTAAACAATAATACTGCTCTGATATCAGAGAGAAGCAACTTGATCCATGCAAACTCGGTGCGATCACTGCTGGCTATCTCCATTTGGGCCACTGCCCACCCACCTGCCCAAAACAACATACTGCCAGGCCACCCATACAAGTAGCTGGGAGCCTTTAAACCACTTTGAACCACTGTAGACCTGAGGTGTCGGTGTGACACACTAAATATGTTTGGCAAAAGCCTACTATTAAATGAAATTAAAACTTATCAATAGGCCTAAACACGGACCTGAGCATCTAACTTCAAGGCTGGAACTGTTGTCTAACCCTTCTGCAACAAAACTCTCCTTTGGGCTGGTGGGATTTGAGTCGGCCCCTGGTGAAGCTTTTCTGCAAGCCACCCAGGTAGTCATCGAAGTGACAGATGAGGGTAATGTCAGGCAAACTACACACAAGCACAAGCACACACACGTGTATTTCACATTCTTGCTCTCTTGCCCATCCATTGATCTCGTAAGATCCATAAGGCATCTGGACGTGGGCCAATTTCTATACTAATAACATGCCAGGACAACTTTTTAGAGACAGCTTCTTCATACTTACTGTCTACAAAATACCTTCATCATCGGTACTGTCACCAAAGAGAGAACAGCACAGCAGAAGTGTTTCAACAGGACCATCATTTCAGCATATTATTTTCTCCTTCTTCATGGAAATAATCTCAACATACTATTTACCTCATTTCTGAGAAGTAACAGCAAAAATTGTGACCCCTGCCAGAATGTTCAGAAATACCAAAGACTTTGCATGTATGATCCACCTTCACCAAAACTTCAGCAACTTGTAGGAACGAAGTTTGCTTAATTCAGTCAAACCAAAAGTAGGAGTAATAGTTTTTGTGTTCTCAGTGGTTCTTCTCCAGTTGCACCGAAAAGGCGTATTTTGGCGTTTAAGGAGGTAAAACACCTTTTCATCTAGCTCTGAAATGGTCCCTTCCAGGGTCTCCTTGTCGATTGGTTCCTACAAGTGTTTTACTCTGGTTAAAATGTTTTGAAGAGACGACTCCATGTATGAGGAAGGTTACTGCCAAGCCAG